TGCAGCCTGATTAAAATTCAAAAACCGTTTACCTACCAAGTACCCATTAACGTCTGACCATTAAACGCTCGGCTTACAGAATAAATTGCATTTGACATCCGTCAATGTGCTCCTAACGTAAAACGTGCTATCCTGTTTCTACATTTACGTCAACGTCCTTTATAGTAAGTTGGTCGAACCTAAACAGCGCCGGCCTTTTAAATTTTGGGCCTCATCATTATAAACTCCATGGACTAATCTTTTCAATAACTGGTTCTGTGTTCAATTTATCCGGTATGTCGCCATTTCGGCAAATAGTACTGCGAGGTGCAATGGGGTAATTCTTTACTGCACAACACAGCTTCGACGTGATATTATTGACCACACAGAAATACGCGCCAGTGATTCTCTTTGGTGCCGGCTATGTATGTGGAACAAGGACACATGTAGCCGTAAATTACCATCCACCAAACTCTGTGTCGTTAACGGACTACAAACTGAACCACGTTTAGAACGTTACGCTGAACAACTCACACAGCCACATCCTTATCTCTTCGTTTCTGTCCACTCACCGCCAGTATTATCCAGTATATCTTCACTGCCTATCAGCTGTTCTCTTGGAGTCGATTGCATTCGGCCGACAGTTCTGAAAACAGCAGTCCGTGATCTAGCAAATCCACTGATCGTTTTCTATTAGCCCTTTTTAAAGGAGAATAAACGTTCACCTATAATGAAGCGAAGGATCACCACTCCCGTTCTTAAGGGAGGTAATCGCATTGAGCCTACCGAATATCTTCCGATGACGCTGCTTCCTATTCTTCTTAAATTTATGGAATCCATCGCTACAGATTCAAGGAGGCAGTATTTAGAACACCACAGTGTGATCGCTCCTAGCAATACGGCTTCTTCCAACATGGCTCATATATTACTAGCTGGTTAGTTGGACGCAGCAGATGGAATGAAGCAGATTATTTTGAAGCTAGAGTCAATGTTATCTACCTGGATTACTCAACAGTGTTAGATAACTTTGATAATCGAATTGGCCTTCACAAGTTTCAGAATACAGCATTGGCGACCAAACGCTGGGTTGGATAGGCAATTTTCTACACGAACATCTGTTGGATGTGGACATCCGCGCATCCTTCTCCGATGCAACTGAGGTGGAGTATGGCGTACTACAAGTCTCGGTGCTAGCGACTTACCTACTTTTGGTTTCATTAAATTATCCAAGGAGGGCAAGTACTTCTGATTTCCTATGTTGCAGAGAGCACTTCATAATAAAACGAATGATTATGGGACCGGACGATCACAAATGGCTTCAGCATGATGATTATGAGCTACTAACTGGTCAATACAGAATGTCCTAACATACATGGTGAAACTTTTCAACTTGTTCAATTGCGTCATAGGCATGAATAATTGTATTGGCTTGGGTCACACATACTTTTAACTTCTAACCAGGAAGGCGATTTCGGTCTGCTGGTTCAAATGAGATCAGTAGTTCAAGCAGTTTGAGGCAGTTGGGAAAAGTGCCAATCAGCATCTCCTCTTGCTGTGGAGGGCATTCAGATGTCTTGACACATCAGTATTCTCGACAATGCACAACAAATATTTGCGCCCTCATGATGAATGTCATACAAGCTTGGTAACCATAGTTGAAATGCGACGTGGTGGTGTTAGAGGCACCACGATTCAGTGCAACATACAACATCAACAGCCTACGCAATCACTCTTAACAGCGAGGGTTGCGACGGTTTTCAACAGACGCTACCGAATGCTACGGGGTGATCTCACATTGGCATGTCAAATATTGAGTGACCATAATCACGCATGATGCAATTTGCTGAAACGGCCTTAACACCAAACTCAGAGGTAACTGCTTGAAACTGCGTAAATTATACACTCCTCTAGAATGTCGAGGAAATCACTTGTCTATTCGAGTTTGCCAATCCAGGGACTCATTTCTAAACTCATTTGCCTCCTCCACTATGGATGTGGCGCTTACCACCAAGCACTGCATTTCCTAAGCTGTGTCGCTGCGGAGTGTTTTCTTCATGCCCTCACAACGAATTACGAGTCACATGGACCCAGAGATGCGGTAAATGACTGAGAGCTATAATTGTACAAAGGACCTCAAATTTAACTGCCTTCATGTTGCTCTGTATGCAAGCAGTCAATTCCTATTTTACATCGTGTACATATTGCAATACATTGAACTGGGTAAACGCTTAGACAGATGAATCACATATCGCGCTTGCTTTTGCAGTTTTCGCCCAAGCCACCTTGCGGGAGTTCACAAACGCCTGCAATTTCACACGTGACAAATCCACCAAACGCTACGTGAAACGTCCAGCAAACTCCACTTGTGAAATGGTTTCTTGCACCTTCTTAATTGAATGCTCCCCCTCCCCAGAAATCGCCTGGCACACTTTCACAAAGAGATTTACCACACTGGTAACGCACGCTTCTGAGCAGAAATCTTTCCATCGTCAAAGGAGAATCAAGTCATTTCTGGAAAGCAGAACACCAAAATGAATGTCCTTGAGGGACCTAGGGTGGAGAGCTAACAAACACTCCCCAAATACCGAAACCTGGATGGCTTACATGACACAGCGTAAATTTGTGCGAGGTTGATCCGCAAGGAAAAGGCGATGCAACAGCAGGAGTTAATGAAGAGATTCTGCACGAACGGCACTCTATTATAAAGGCATGCTAATGACCTTCGTATGATGCAACGCGGAATTCCAGTACTGATCACGACTGACGGGTGCACGCAATCAGCAACGGAAATAGCCGATCTTCTTCATTTCTATAAGTCAAAAACGCTCCAATAAGTAACGCACCCAAAGGTTATCCCTGTTTCTATTTTCCCACTATCAGCCTTATCCAATATTACTTTTACTGCAGAAAGTATGTCAAAGGAACTGTTGTTCCTGTGTACCGCAGGTTTCCTGGTGTTGATACCATTCGATCCAAGGCTTTACAGGCAGCAGGCAGTGACTTGGCGGAACCTCCCGCTGTATTCTTTTGGCGCTGTATAGAGGAGAACCATATTTCAACAATATGGAGGCGTGGGATAGTCACTCCTATTCATAAGGGAGGTAGTCGCAATGAACCAACCAGTTACAGTCCTATAACATTACTCTCTGTACTTTCCAATGTTATGGAATCTAACATCGCTGATGCAATCATGCATTATCTGGGTAATCACAAGCTGAGAGCACCAGATCAACATGGCTTCAGGCAAAAGCGCTCATACACTATGAACCTGCTAATTGCACGCAACAGCTGCACTAAAGCAGTTGACGTGGGGCTGGTGTTGATGTTATTTATCTGGACTTTTCAAAAGCGTTTGATGGCTTAGACCACCAAATTCTCCTCCATCAAATTCAACTCTATGGTGTTGGTGACCCACTGCTGCGTTGGATAGGCAATTTGCTTCACGAACGTCGGTTTGAAGTGAAAGTACAGCAATCGCTGTTCGACGCAACTGAGATGGAGTGCGGCGCACAATAAGGCTCGGTGCTCAGGCCCCGTCTAGCCTGCAGTTTCACAAACGGTCTGGCGAAGTAAATTACTTTGAGTTCTTATTCTTTACAGATGATATCAAGCTACGACAAGCGCTCAAAGAACCAAACGACCACGATAAGCTCCAGCCTGTCCTCAACACGCCGGAATACACTACCGTACAACGTAGAAAAATGTCACACTGTTCACTTACGCCATAGGCATGACTACGCGTATGTGCTTGGATCACATGTATTGTAAACAACTTCCCAAGAATGCGAATTAAAATTGAGCTTAACTGTGCAAAGTAGCCAGAGATAGCTGCGAATAGAGCAAACGAGCATGTCGGCTTCCTGCGGAGAGAATTCGGCATATTCGACCCATCCATCTTCACCATGATGCACAATACATATGTGCACCCTCGAGTTGAATACGCCATCCACGACTGTCAACGTTGGTTGAAAGGCAGATTAGAAGTACTAGAGATAAAGTAACGCGTGGACACAAAGAACCTCAATGGCCTACAAAAATATTCCAAGCATCAAAGGCTGAAGTCATTGGGAGTTTTCAGTGGCCGCTACCGAAATCTGTGCAGCCATCTTATATTAGTCTACCAAATATTGAGTGACTCTAATCACGTACGCAGTCACTTGTTGCAACTTAGCTACAACAGAAATCTCGGAGGTAACCCTCTGCAATTGTGTGCACAGTATAGCGGCCTGGAATGCCGGCGGAAGTATTTTTCTCTTCTGGTTTACCAACCCTGGAAAGCTCTTCCAAATTTGGTTGCTGCCTCCCACACCTTGGATATTTTCAAAAAACGATTGGGTCTAGCCCTTGGTCTTCATCACTTCGTTGCCTAAACTCTGCAAATTTGTAATATATTAATTATCCCTCCAAACCGGATTAACCTTTCACATAATCCTGAGGAGTCGGTACAGAAGTGTGGCTTCTCGTTTTTACTCTTCGCAAGGAGTACAACCACTATAACTCTCCACATTTCGCCTTCTCGTTCGCATATAATTCCCATGTACCCTACTATTATTCAGTAGCCTATTTACTAGAGGAACGCTCAAACAGAAAACATCCATCTTTTGATGATTGTAGTTTTACCCGCATCTGCTGCGAGAGCTGTCAGACAACTGCATTTTAACCGGCATAAATCACTGTTCATTGTTCAGTATTCGTTGCTGCGTAGACACACACTCAGCAACATCATTCACCTACTTAATATTTGCGTTGCCAAGCTGTCATCCGTTTGGTGACGCGTCTCAAAATTTCCCGCATGCTAGTTGGTATAATGCTACTCATTCATCTTTAACATCTGCTGTGTCCCGAGTTATGTTGTTCACCAGCCATCGCAGGTAGCTAGTTACTCTTTCTATAGATGTGTATGGCCATCAAGAAAAACAATTTTTCATAATAGTTTCTTCCCTACTGACACATGAATTTACGTACCTTTTGCACATGACTAAGTAGCAGCATTGTAGAAAACAAATTAATCTAGACTAACTATTTATTTAGAAAATCCAACGAAACACTACAGAAGTTCTGTTTCGCTGCTATGCGTGTGTGAATCGCAAAAATGAACTGGAGAAAGCAACAAAACTACTGATGCGGCTTCGTTGGAAACATCTCCTCACAAGAGTAAAAGCAAATACTTTTGCCTCTTTCGTTGAGCTCAATACATTCAGCCCGATCAAGCTGGTTCGGACAGATTTGCATAAGTTCGTCCCACATTGTATTGCATCCAGTTAAACATTCACTTCGGGATGTGAACGGTATCAGTGAGCCGCGCGCAGAGAACAGCGTCAACAAAACCTGTGAAAGAAACGCGAGATAATATGTAGTGATGGTCTTTGATGTCAGCGTTTTCTAAAGTATATTTATGGACAAGTGGTAGAAACCACTGAAATATGTACGCCTTCCTGATATTCTAGCTACTGTGCCACAAACAGCATAGATAACGGTTACATGCACACAACTAAACAACACAAGACAGTAAAAGTTCCTAGTTGTAAGTGCAGGTTGATATTGTTGGACAATGCTTTGTTTAAAACATTTTTAATCTCGAAATATATATGAGGACATATTGAAACAGCACGTTAGTTGACAAACGGATACGCACCAGACCGAAACATGTCCTCATGTTCGGATTGTTAGATAATTCTCTGACCAACTCCTCTCTATATATATATGCTTACAAACGACGCCCACTGAGCGAATTCAACGCGGCGAATCAACTGCGTTTCATTCAAGGCGCATAAACTAATAGCAGGTGAAAGTTTATTTGTTGACAAATAGTCCAATCAGAAGAGAGTTTGCACGCTATGATGCTAAAATTTCAATGCACTCTCCGTTATGATATCACTGTAGTTTAGCGATACCTTCGCATTTACTTGGCGTGTACGACAAAAACCAGTCACACCTTTTGTTTCCTAGATACCCTACAGCAGTGTTGCCGCCTGCTGTGCATATAGTAAAAGAGGTGCAACGATTTAGCTAGTTAAAATCAGAAGTATCGAGCTCGGATCGACAACACATGTTTGACGATTCAATCTCAATCCCTAATTGATCGAAAGCATCATACAGCGGTTCAACGGTCATTCACCAAACGCCTCCTAGCCAATTCCATTACATTATAATAGATGAATCGATGTGTTATTTTACAGCTTGAGCCAACATGGCTGCGCCAAATGAAACGTAGCCTTGTTTTCTTGTGTGTTGCACATGCGAAAAAGTACACTCGATGTATTCAACAATACTACTCAAAGAACTCAAACAGCAACTAGAAAGTGTTCTTGGTTAGGTCAAAAACGAAACAGTCGGAAAAACGTTTCCTCTACCGATACTCCGTATAACAGAATTGAATTTCAAGTGCCGTGCATAACATTTAACCAGGGAGAAATTTTCGAAAGGCCATTTGTTCCGTGCTCAAAGTGGAAAATGATAGTGATATATTGAGTCCAAGGAGAAAAATGAATATCCTTATTAACCAGCGCGTTGGATATAATCTGGATGCCCGGTATTCTCTTCTGTCGCCCTTTTAGATGGATTCCCTCACAATTAGCACTGTGGATAAATTATTTTGTCTAATACGGAAAATTTTCAGCATAATATTACGCTTGAGCTTGCCGAAACGAGAAGCTGTCTTAAATGTGTCCATTTTATTTCTTTGTACTCGTTATGCATTACCATCACTCCTTCGTTCTTTCCTGGAGGTCACAACTCAGGTAATCCCCACAGTATTCCGTGCTCGGCGAAGTTCATTTTGCTTTCAATGTCTTCTTCCGATTGGTTTCCTCTGACGGTAGCACCGGAAAAGCTACCAGAAGTTGCCATGCTTACAAATACTTTGAACACTTAATTATCCACGTTTGCTGCTTGCTAATACCTGAAGTATACAACCGTCAGACTATATCTCATTCTACATAGAGTATCACCCTTAAATAATTGTGGTTTTCTTTCTATTTCTGACAAGACTGGGCTAATCCAATGACGTGATGATTAAAGATTCCAGGCTAATTAGCAATACTCACGCAAGGCAAATTACCACAGACCCATTAGCAAGAAGGCATGCTGTACTCAAATGCGTCGGGCTGAATGGTTGGGGTGCTTAACTGTCCATTTAACTGCATCCTCAATGTGTTGGCCTACCTGCTCTTCACTAAAAGCCCTATGACGACAGCCCCTTTTCCTATGACAGGGTCCAAAGAATAGGGTCTACAATATGACAACCTATTTGCTCATAACGCCGGAGATTAACATATGAGTCAACCTGATGACGACTAACTTGCTTTTAAAATACATCAGCGTATGACGAGATGAGGTGCGGAGGTGTGGCGGAAAAGTTTCGATGGACTACACCGCATGGAGGCTGGTGCGCAGGCGACGGTTCCATGGGTTACTTTGCTTGAACTGCCGACTATCAAACCTTTTATTCATACTCTCTTATTCCCGAGATTTTACTACTTTAAGTAACAGAACACCTCAGAAAGAAATGCAAAATTGTCGCAACATCTAAAAACTTTCGCCAGGATCCGATTTCGTTGTGTAACATGATAAAAATAAGTATATCACCTGTGTCTTGCATTTTCGAGAAATATTCAATATATTTTTTAATGCGAAGGAAGAACTTATTGCGTAATTCCGCACCCTGACACTTTCATCTTTTTCGTTTCGATCACTGCGTGTTGCGGCATTAAGCGAATAATCCAGGACGGTTGATGAGTCCAAACAAGGTCGAAACCGATCATACGAGGAGCAACAGCGAGACCTCTTCATTCCGTGGTGGAATTACACTGATTACACATATCATTTCTATCAGTTCGCATCTCTGATCTGCTTTTCTCACGTTACTATATGTTGTTCCCTACACCGTTATTAACTGCCTATCTTAAAACGTACTGATTGTGCAGCTACTCACGTTTGCTATCCTATACCATCTGAGGATAGGTTTGTAAGCTGCAGTGTGCCCAAGTAGGACGAGTTCACCCTCTCCGCCTCTCCACTATTCCCTCGCTAACTGTGCAGCAATCCGCACACAGCACGAATAACTGATCGGCGTATGTTGGAATGACTACCTGTGCACCCTGATTTATTGATTTACGTACCCACTGCGGTCACAACTTGACAAAGTTGCTTACGTAACAATGAAGTAACGTTGCTGTCCAGTACAGCTTTAACATATGCCGCGAGGAATTGTTTTTGGTTATACACACCGTCGCTGCTTATCGGATATCGTTTTCTACAGCATCATAATGCAGTATAATGGAAGGAAGGCTGTCTACAAAATGACTTATACTGGATTTGTAAGCAAAAGGTGTCTCTATGCATTGGCCAGGAGATGATAACTGGTCATTGTATTGCTCAATCCAAGTGACAGCATTTAGGAATTTAGTAACAATACGCACCCGATAGATTAGAGCCAGAGGCATTACTGATAAATTAAATAAATAAATTGTATATTCCTCGACGATGCGGGGAGTTGAACACTTAAAGGAACGGATCAAATAATGGTAAAACCTTTCTATGACATTGCATTAATAAATTTTCCGAAATAAACATGGGCGCAATTGCAAATTAGGTAACACAGAGTACTCAGAATCGTTCCGCTAGCATTTTCCTGCCATTGAATCAGGATTATTCACAATCACATGAGAGATGTTTGGCCCAAGGAAAAATGTAATGAATAGGGGCTGTTGTTCAATGTTATATGTATGTGTTCCGAAAATGTATTCGGTCAACATGGATATCGTTTCCGAATGCGTTATCTAGGGACTGTGATGTCCCGAACATATTAATCATGTTTTGAACAGTTAAATGCTTACTAATCGCAAGCTTGAAATTGCAAAGTGTATAGCATGTTCTGATATCACTTGGAAGTTTGTTCCAACTGTTTGAGTATTGGGTTAGAAAGAAACGTTCTCTGATTCTCGTAGTAAATTTTGTAATCATGACTTTTACCTGTCTGTTACGTATTGGATATCTGCTGTTGAAAGATATGTGAACACTGTTATCCAAATTGCGAATTTGATAGTTTATGATTCTGTAAAGAAAACCTAGGTTCGGCTTCATTAGCCGAAGCAAACTGGGTCAAATCCAAGTTTATCACATTGCTATCTTTATGTCAACTTTGAAGAATATCCACATCGCTTTTTCGTGAAGCGTCTCTGGACCCTCTCAAGAGCGAGCTGGTCAGATTTCCGCAGATCAGATTGTATCATTGAACAGGATTCCATACACGGTAATACATATGTTTTGTAAAGCTATATGCGAGATTCCGTGAGGTAAAATGATGGCAGATATAACCGATGGCCTTCATGGCTTTCAAAGCTTGAAAGTCACAATGTTCAGAAAAGTTAAACATGACTGGATATTGCACACTCAAGTCGCGAACTGCCCTACATTACGAGATATATGCCTCTCGTAGTAATAAACTGTCTGGCAGTACTTGGCATTTGTACTACAAAAGATTACACTTGTCTACGGCAAATGACATCTGCCACAGTTGGCACCAGGACTCCAGAGCAGATAGGTCATTCTGAATGCGACGTACGGCTTCCTGAGTATTTACAGGTGGTTGTGAGTAGACAACTTTCATGTCATCAGCAAGCTAAGTGTAACAACGTTTCTTATTCTTTGAAATATATCGTTATTTTACATGTTAAAAAACGAAGTGGACCAAGAAGGCTGCCTTGAATTACTCCACTAGTGATTGCTTTCGGTTTAGACAAATGGTCGCCCATGCGTACTACCTGCATTCTACCAATTAGATCTGAAGACAGCAATAGGAACATTCGTTCTCCAGAGCTTATAGACTTCAGTTTGTTAAGTAACCTTCTGTGAGGCACTATATCAAAGGTTTTTGCATATCCAGGAATAGGATTACGACACTGTCTCCGCTGTCAATGGCAGCCGTGTTGTGGTTTAAAATCTCAGTCTGGCATGTTGCGCAGGATCCACCTTGCATGAAGCCATGTTGCCAATTGCTGATGATGTTAGCCTTGTTCAAGAATATAAATAGTTCCTCTTTCACTATCTTTTCCATTATCCTAGCTACGATGTATATGTGATTGATGGGTCGAAAGTTTTATTCGCTTGGGCAGTGCCATTTTTATGTTGCGGAATAACGACAGAAGGTTTTCATTTAGTAGAGTATACTCCGTTGTTAAATGAGAGTGGAAAGGTGTTGAGCGAAAGCAAAAGGAAGTCACTACCACTGCTTTTATTTAGCAAAGTGGGATCCATCAGGATCAGTGCAACTCGAGGATCAGAAGCGAGACTTGACCGGTGTTTTACGCCATAGTGAATTCCACTGTGCATAGACCTTCATTGTTGTGCGACATGATAAATGTCAGTGTGTCTGACGATTCATTAGGCATTGATTCGGCAAAATAAGCACTGAAAGCTTACAGATATCACTTTGTGCGCTGAAGTACGTTCCATCAGGTGCGGTGATAAAATTGTAATTGTCGCTGCAACTCGAATTCCATGCGCGGAATAGTTTGACTAGCTCAGTTGTTTTGCTACGGCCTTCCACAGCTTTATACTCTTCTAAAAAGAGAATGTTGTCTTTTTGATGCCTCTGTTCTTCGAGGAGTTTTGACTGATGTAATTTAAGCGTAAAGTTAGGAGTTAACTCGAATTTCTGC